TTTGTTTTGCCATGTTTGAAGAGCTAGCTCCTATTGGTCAACGTCACAGATGTGACGGAACGCATTGTGGAGGACGGGAAAAAAAATTCAACCTGCTAGTCTTTCTGTCGGGACGTCATAAAGCATCAAAGACGCGGCGTAGGTGGTCTTATCCCAATGCCCATTGTCTTTTTACGAATCACCATGACATCCTACGTCAACAGATCGTGCCAAAATCTAGGCCTATATACAGTATATAACTGGCTTAACCAGTATGGTTTAATCCACTGTGTTTGTGGAGGTCTTCAGTCATCCATCTGTGATACTACCAGTCAAGTTTATCTCCTGCTTTCTTGTAAAGTGCTCTGGCAGCATTCAGGCTTGATGCACTTTTACTCCGAATTGCTTTAAATTATGTAACAAGATTTGAAAAAGTCTTACTGACCCTTTATGGATTCCAGGATAACAGACACTCCTTTTTGAGGTGATTTGGGAGCTGAATGAATATATGAATTCATGTCAAAACTGATGCTAGTGCAGCATAAATATTCATGAGGAAAATGTGGTTAAGGGGACATGGATTGGACAGTCCCCTTAGAGTCCACTGTGAATGCATCAGACAGTAAAATGTGCTGGGTCATAAAGCATCGACAGTGGTTAAATACTTACTCAAAAGGCTGATTTATACCCAGAATTCATAAAGTAATACAAGGTCATATAAATTAAGAAACAAATTATAAAAACGTTTGTAAAAAAAAAAAACATTTAAATCATATCTGTAATCTCAATTATCTTGTACATTGGGAGCAGGAAGTTAGTTTATTGATATTATATATTATATTATAATTTCTTCCACTGGATTTCATTCTAACTCTAAATGACTAGAGCCAGGAAAATTACATTATCCATTGTATCAGCACTCTGTATCAGAACAATGTCGGGGCGGTCGTACTTTTTATAGATGCATGGCATACGGAACACCTACACAGCCTCAACCCTATAGGGGGCTCCCACGCGGTGTGATAAGCCATATACAGTATATAATGGTTAAGCTTGCCATTTAAAACTACACAGAAGCTGCATCTAAGTGCCAAGTGAGTTTTACTGTGAAACGGGATGTCCCGATTAAGTTTTAGTGCTCCCGATCCAATCAGAGTCATTGAATATTGAGCAACTGGATTCAACATTGATAATAATAGAAAGACATGTTTCTTGAGCACCAAATTAGCACATTCGAATTTCTGAAGGATCATGTGACTCTGAAGACTGGAGTAATAGCTACATGACATTTTAAAGGAGTAGTTCACTTCAGAATTAAAATTTCCTGATAATTTACGCACACCCCCATGTCATCCAAGATATTCATGTCTTTCTTTCTTCAGTCGAAAAGAAATTAAGGTTTTTGAGAAAAACATTCCAGGATCTTTCTTCATAGTGGTCTTCAACGGGAACCAAGGTCCAAATTGCTGTTTCAATGCAGCTTCAAAGGCTCTACGCGATCCCAGCCGAGGAATAAGGGTCTAATCTGGCGAAACGATTGGTCATATTTTAAAAACAAAATACAAATATATTTACTTTTCAACCACAAATGCTCGTCGTGCACGTCCACAACTTCACGCATTACAGTAAGTAATCACGTTGGAAATGTCAGGCGGAAAATGTAGGAAAGGAGGCGAAAAACTTCTTCTTTTTTTTTGTAAAGGGTGTTTGACTTAATCTTTGCACGTTCGCTCTGTAAACACAAGGTCGGTACTTCCGCCTACATCACGCGTGACCTTTCAACGTGATTACGTAATGTGTGGCGCATCACAGCTAGTGCAAGACGAGCATTTGTGGTTAAAAAGTATCATTTTTTTTTAGAAAATGACCGATCATTTCGCCAGATAAAAGCCTTATTCCTCGGCTGGGATCGTGTAGAGCATTGAAACTGAAATTTTTACTGTATTTTTGATCAAATTGATGAGCCTTGGTGAGCATAGACTTCTTTTAAAAACATAAAAAAATAAAAATAATAATAATAATAATTCGCACCAACCTAAACTTTTGAATGATAGTATAGCCTTCTCTGTCTGTTTATATCACTTAGAAATCGGTTCAGTCTAACGCATCTGTGTTTCCGAAGGTAAACCGAACTACAGCTGTAGAAATTAAGCACACTTTAGCGGTAATGCTCACGGTAGATCTGCTGCCTAATCAAGGGGCTAATTGCACATTCTCATAGCTCTGCATTTTTATAACAGTCAGATAAAGGGTCACAATAACACAGCGTTTCTAGAAAACTCAACTGTCCATCCCTGATTGGCTCTCTTTGCATCCTGGTTTTGTCCAAATAGTAAACGTCATTACACTTCCTGCGCTGATTAACTTAATCTATGCTGTTGTAGTTTATTGTACTGTTTAGCTTGTGTACAATGTAAATTAATTTGACTCTCGTGACTCAAGGTAACTGATTTACATGCATTATTTAAGTAATTGCCAAACTATTCCGGTTTTATAGTGACATTTCCATCTCCCTCTCGCACTTTAGCTTCACAACTATCCCTCAAGGTCAGATTTAGTTGAGTAAAGCAATCCTACAGAAGAATCAACATGCACTTTGTAGCAAACAATGATGAACATTACAATATGACTTGTTCTCTGTTATCACAAACATATCACATACAAACTGGCACATCTGTAAATGCACAGTAATAGAGCAACTATATAAGAATCTCGATGCTATTGGATATATATACTTAAACAATCTTACAAAACAAAATTAAACTACTTGTATACCACAAACATGTACAGTATACTTTCAAACTAAGGTAGAGTACTGTGACAAAAATCATCCATTTATGTCAAAATGTGGTCCATTCAGTCAGGTCACACCTTCTTGCACAAACTACATGCAATGCATGATGATCCCTGGCTGTCAAATCTGCAATTTTTCCACCACCGATGCCCTTTCAATAAAAACAGGTGCATGATCATGCGGTGTACTATGATTCTCATTTAATGAATGTTGGGGGTTGTAAATGGTGATTCAGCTGTCCATCTCAAACCAGAAGCACTGTCTATGATTATGTTTTATATGTTCTCTGGGAAATTTTTCATCAAAGTAATGCTCATACAAACATTTACTGCATATTTGCGAAGATGTTTCAAGGGATGAGGGCGCCATCAACAGCCAGACAATTACTGCTTTCTTGCAAAACTCGCTGAGTCCTAGAAATCCAATCGGACCTTGGCGTAATCCTCTGGGTCTCATTGTCAAGACAATAAACAACAGAAAAATGGACAATTACTTCAAATCAACATTGGAAGCAAATACGGCAACAGAAATGTAAAAACATCAAGGGAAAACCTATTCCAGTCTTAATATCACATACAGTCGGCGGATACAATCTCGCACGTTTTATGCGCATCGGATAAATATGTGTCAAAATAAAATGTATAACGGCCCCAACATCAAGAAGATTTGTGACAGACTGGTGAATTCTACAGAGTGGAAAAGCCTCCGGGAGAAATATGTGGTGGCACTTGTGCAGAATGAAAGCCCTTTCAATCAGTAGGGTACATTAGAGGGCCTTTTTTTTGTAAAGCAGTCCCTCTTGGCTTTCCTCCAAATGCAAGATGGATAATTCTAACTGACAGAGTGACCCCCTTTATACACAAATGGTGGCGGTCTTACGGAATAACAATCAGATCAAATAGATGCACTAAAGAAAAGCAAAAAGAGAGTGATAGGTCTTTTAACAGACATTTGATGGAAGGATATAGCACATCACGTGAACTATGACCTTCAGATGTGTTCTGGAAGAAAATGTTCTATGGTCTAAGAACATAATGATTGAGGAAATGGGCTCTAATATTCTAAGAAAAGAACTCAGAAGAGAGAGGATAAGTGTGGTTATGGCAACAACAGATGCAAGTGCATGGGAAGCAAGATCGTAAAGTACAATTTCTTTTTGCAGGCTTCGAGAGAATCTGCAGACTTTTTTTCTGCACTGTTTTTGGGGTAAAATCTGTGGGATTACGTGACATGGATTTAAAAATGGTTAAATATACTATAGAAATCTGAGAGTTCTTCATTCTTATTGGTAGCTGAAAGCAAATATACATGAACACAGAGACGAACGAATTTGTTTAATGTTATGAATGACGCAGCGTCTAATTCAGTGGAAATCTGCAGATTTTATATGGACATATATCTGTGAATACTGCAATTTTTCCTCAACCATGATTGGGAAATTTAGAATAATTGTAATATTTATTTCAATTCTGATTCATTGCTTCAATTTCTTGAATTGCTTTTTTGCTGTCAAAATAAATACATAAATAAACAGTCTTAAAATTTTTCCTCTCCTCAAATAATGTGTACAACTTCAAGTTCAAGAGAGGTCAGTTTTGTATTCCAGATTTAGACATGTAGAATTGCATTTGAATTATAAATTAAATTGGCCTTAAAGAATTAATACACATTATGAAAGACAGCTTACTCTGAGAAATGCGTAAATTGTTGTCACTGCAGACATAATGTAACAGAGAAGCAAGAAAACTTTCAGAACAACATCTCTGAAACCCCTCAACATGCCTGGAGTTAGAGACACAGCACAAAATGTATTACTGTTACAATCAGTCAATGAGCCCTTACTACACTGTCCTTTCTCTAATTTCCCATAGCACTTTATATTTCAGCAATAACATTAAAAAAACATTATGAAATCATAAAATGCTTAATAGATCATTACATTTAATCAGTTATGAGTGTGCTAACACTTTGATTGATATATATATTGATAGGTTATGTCCACTTTATCCTGTCTTGATCTTCCTGACATGTTTATTGCATCATAAACATGTCTATATTAATCGTCATGTGATAAAAAAGTCTCATTTAAAGTATTCAATTACAGTAAATTCACAATAAAATCCAAAGTGTAAACCTAGATGTCCATAAAACACTGATTTATTATGCATTATATAATTCATGTGAATGACTTATTAATGAAAGTCAAAGATGATTAAAGCTAACATACCATTTAACTGATTATACACCACATCTTCTAGTCGCTCGAGCCGTTTGAGAATGGACTGTCTGTCCAAGGAGTTCGTAACTTTGGCATTCCTGCCTCGCAGTCTCTGATCCGACAGCCTCCCGATCTGCACGAGCTCTTCGGATCGGTCCTGGATCCTGCAGTAGACCGAGAACAAGATGATCCCGACGAACACCAGAATGTTGACCGTCAGCAGAGTTTTGATCTTGCGTGCCACAGCCATTAAAGCCCGAGAGCGACACTGTCAGACCCCTAATATTGATCCATATGATCCGCTGTGGTGGGAGCTGTCCGTTCAGCACCACACACAACCCGCGCGCGCCGCAGTTTCACAAGCTTAACTGCTGATCAACGCTCCTATCTGATGATGCAAGTATATATGATATAGAAGTAAAACACGTAATAGAGCTTGCAATCAAATAACACCGCCTCGGGGTCTTGTGCTGACCCCCATTACAAACGTTTAGAAATGTGTCAGAGCAGCCTACGGAGATTATGCTCAGATTAAAAGCATGCGCTGTGCACTCATGAGTCGAAATGCACGAGATGTGCACGGTTCAGATGGCTCATTTTAAATGTCAGTGCATGTCAAACAGCGATCCTCCGTGTGCAGCATCCTTCACGCGACTCCGTCTGTTAAAGCAAAGATGCATCGCGCTCGGGCATCGAAATAAGATGAGCGATTTCAATGACCGGACAGATGAAATGCACAATCCTTATGCAACGAACGCAGGTGGAAGTAAAAAAGAAAAAGAAAAAAAGACGCTGTCAAGCGATGGTTTGCATGGCAGCGTTCTTCTCTCGCGCTCCCCGCATGCTCCCTCCCTCACATCCCGCTTTTCACGCGCTGCTCAGCGCTCTGGTGACGTCGGCAAACTCATAAATATTCAACACTGTGTGAGGGGATGAAAGGCTGGAATTTGATAGATGATGAGGATAACTGTTGGATTACATTCTAATGTTTTCACGGAGACTGGCCAATTAAATTACATAGAGTTTGTATAAGAATAATGATTTCAATGTTACGCCCAAGTGCAAATGTGGCATTTCCAAGGAATAATACAATCAGTGGGTCATTAACAAATGAAAATGTTCTCCAAGACAAGTTTACTTGTCTTCCTTTATTTTGAGTCTTTTATATATTCTCTTTGTGTCTCTTGCCAGTTCGTTCTTTCAACCTGTGCTTTTGTTTTTCTTGCTTTCACTGGGCACTCTTGAGCTTCTAAAGCCTACATCTATCAAATGTTTTGTTTACCATGAAGAAATACTTAAGTCTTCCGAGAAGCACTTTCAAATGTGTCTGTAACCACAAAAGCAAAATAATATATGTCAGCCAGAATGCACTCAATGTGGGCTATATGCTCACAAAGTCACATTTATCTAAGGTTAGGATATCAACAAAAAAAGTGGATTATTGTCATATCTCATAATAGATTTACACTCAAATAGATTAAAAAGAATTACAAAAACCTTTTGTTTAAAATATCCTTAAAGTAGTTGATCGTATCATGCTAAAAGCGCCAATACATTTGTATTGCGGTAGACATTCACTTGCATTACTTTACTCTGACCTGGAAGAACTTTATATTTTATAACTTAAGACAGGCGTCACATGGACCACCTTTACGATACTTTTAAGTTGAGCTCACCAGTTGGGGAAAGTTACTTTTAAAAGTAATGCATAACAATATTGTGTTACTCCCTAAAAAGTGACTAATTGTGTTACTTAGTTAGATTTTATGGAAAGTAATGTTACGTTACTTTAACATTACTTATTCTCATCTCATACCGTTTTTCGCCTATACAGTAAGGATGTATGCGATTTCGGATGCAGCCCAACAATCTTACTTCAGCTATAAAAAAGAAAATACAAATGTGATGTTTATCTAGTAATTTTTGCTTATATGTATGGTTGAATTGGACCAAAGGTCAGGAGTAACTTGCGTTACTTATTAGAAAAAGTTATTTAGATATTTTGTTGTTGATTTAAAAGTAATGCGTTACTTTACTAGTTAAAAATAATATGATTGCGTAACTCATGTTGATTATAATGCGTTGGCCCCAACACTGGCGCTCACATTAGCGAAATTTCAGTCCATTGTCTATAGTCAATGTTGTAGTCATTTTCAAACCAAGCAGCTTTCTGTAGGATATGAGGCGGACCCCTTTGACCAACTTGAACCCGTTGCAAACTCTACGTGGGGAAATATTTTGCCCTCACGAAATTCTCGATCACGTGGGTTTCTGTTGAAATGACTGAATTACGTCAGTGAAAATTCACCTAATAACGGTAAATGTGACCATACTTTTATGGTGATCTACTGTCCTTTTTGAACCTCGACATGTTCAGTCCCTATTCATATAAAGAGAAAATCCATTGCTTGTAAAATACCAGAGATGGGACCAAGTCACACATGTGCAAGTCTCAAGTAAGTCTCAAGTCTTAACCTTCAAGTCTCAAGTAAGTCCCAAGTATTTTTTTCCTGGGCAAGTCAAGTCAAGTCAAGTCACAGGCTATGTCAAGTCAATTCAAGTCAAGTCCTGTAGTAGGTCAAGTCAAGTCCAAGTCAAGTCACCTTATTATTGTAATTTTACCTGCAGAATTTGATCTATGGGCGTCAGTTTGGTCTGAAATGAACAGAGGCGCATTCGGAAGTGCATTTGGGAACAATGACGCATTCATTCACTTTTCTCTTTCACGCAGGTCATGTTTTGAAAGATGGTGTCCTATAGCTTACTAATTTAAAGAAATAAAAATGTATACAAAAATGTGATGATGTCCGACTTCTTTTATGAAGAAAAAAGCCTTAAGTTTTCAAAAAGCATTAGACATATGACCCACTATTCTGCTTCGTGTAAGTTATCAATGAATTCAAACGTGCTTTCACGCGTTGGCTGGCGCTGAGCCAGAGACATAAGCCTTGTTTATACTCGACGCGTCCGCAAGAGCGCGAAGTGCCCTCGGCAAAAATGACGTAATTGCGGTGTGGGCGGTCGTGCGCGTTGGGTGCGCAAGACCCCATTTCGCCTGGCGGTGTGCACGGCACTTTTTGTAACATCGCGCGCGGCGCCGCATCCGAAGATGAACGACTTCGAGCCGAATCTGGCCGAACTGGTATGTCTGTACCACCATGTTTATGATCCTTCTATACACAGAGACATTTGCATTGATGGGCGACCATAAAAGCCTCTCATTTTGTGAATAGAAACACATTTACATTAAGCACCCAGTTTGCACTTGTATAAAGTAACTGCTTACATTTACAAAATAAGCCTACAAAAGTAAGCCCTGCTGATGAAATTAAGGTTTAAACACTCTTCAATAAGGCTTCAGTTGTTTACTAGTTTACATGCAGCGAAAGTACAATAAACCTACTGCATTTATTACTCTTTTTATATGAATCAGAAATTAATAAACTACTAATAAATGGCAAACTACTTCTTCACTGCTGATTCCTGGTGGTTTAGAGGAGAATTACTCCGAGTCGCCCCCTGTCGTTTCACAGAATAGCACAACGGCGAGCGCGTCAAGTATAAACGCCTCGTCCATGTGGAGAGGTCCGCGCGCAGTCAGCGCCAGCGGAGACTCGCACTCGTGCGGACGCGTCGAGTATAAACAAGGCTATACGCTCTCAGTGCTGTCATATATCACAACTGTTCAGTGTTTTCAACCACATAATTTTTATTTTAGGTTTCAGACATTTAAATACACATAAGTACTAGCAAAAAAAAATATTTGTATTTTGTAAAATACACACTGATGTCTACGGAAGCGTCAATAATAATCCTTTCCATTATAATAAGACGTCATGTTTTATTCATATCAGATACACATTGTGTAAGTATAGCTTTGCATTTTACCCTATTCTTCTCCCAGTTCACCGGTCACTTAACGTTACTTTCATGTATTTCGTGAGAAGTTGAGAAATTGACCTGTTGTAAACGTTAACATGGCACCGCCCATTCGCACATATACAGCTCAACTAACGCGATCATTATAAAGGTGTTTAAACAACAAAACACATCCACTTACACATATTTGACAATCGGAATATCAGTGTTGTATGTTATAGCTAATACATTTGTGAACATTTTGAATAAAACAGGAAAAATGACATAAAAGCAGATCATCATTCATTCAGCGCTGTGTTGTGGTTGCGGTGTGTCACGTGACAAGCAATGACGCGTCACCATGGAAACATTAAAGTGAGTGATAGGTTCTAAATAACGGTCGCCTAGAAAAACTCACGCTGGGGGATCAGTTAGAATAGTTTAAACTTACTTGTGAAAGGGTTAATGGCTACTTTAGCTATTATTACATTAGCTAACTACCAACTAACATTAACAAATTGACAAGCACTTACTGGGCAGAATGGCTCTTCAAATGACGGACGAAATTGGAGGTTGTCGTCTGGCTGTCCGCAATATTAATGTTGCATGTCTTGCAAAGCGCTGTTCGTCTTTTGCCATCTTCTGTGAATAATTCTTGAAGCCGAAAGCGAAGACCCTCGGTAGCCCTCCGGCCGACATTTTGATGTGATATCTGATCTAAGTGGGCGTGGTGTGCGTAAGGTACGAGAGGGCATGACTGATGATAGTGTCGTGATCAACTTTAAAAAAATATATAATTTATATATTTTATATTCAAACTGAAAACATGATGTGATTAACACTCAAGTCATTCAAGTCATCGTGTCTCAAGTCAAGTCAAGTCCCGAGTCTTTAACTTCCAAGTCCGAGTCAAGTCTCAAGTATTTCATTTTATGTCAAGTCAAGTCACAAGTCATAAAAATAGCGACTCGAGTCGACTCGAGTCCAAGTCACCAAGTCACAAAGTCACAAGTCCCCATGTCTGTAAAATACATTATTAAAAATTTCTCTATTTGTGTTAAACAGTGAGTAAATTATGACAGAATTTTCCCTTTTGGGTGAACTAACCTTTTTATATAAACAGTATTGAGCACACTCATTTACACATGAGCAGACCGACACGTGCACAAAGCAACGGGCAATTCTAACACCCTGCTTTTGAATGCTTGCCATGGGAGCTGCCTGACCAGTGATTCAATCTAAATAATGAATCCGGTAAGTTGCAGCTGAACAGATGGAGAGACATAAAATAAGAGAAGGGAAAAGAATGCCAGTGTCAGCTATACAGTAGCATACCAATATGCATACCATTTTTACACTATACAGTATAGAATGCTGCATACATGCATTTTTTGCTGTATTTATAGATACACTGATGAGACAACTTACTTACTACATTTGCAACAATGTGCAGTATTCAGCAAAAGCACACTGCACATAATACTGTATCCTATAATGCAATACACACAACTTGACTTTCCATTTCAGTGCGAAAAGTGAACCAGAAGTGATTATAAAGTGTGATCGGTTTCTTCAATCATTATGTGATTAGAATGTCAAAAGATCTTTTTTTTTTTACTCGAAGTAGGATTCAAAATGCAGAATAAGCACGTTTCATTTCCTAGATGAAAACTAGATGCCACATACTACTATGTGAAATGTTTATACTTTGAGATACTATTCCTGCATTATGCATTCTTTACAAATTTTCTGTATATAAATGTGTTTTACTGTTTAAACAATAGTCTGCAGTTTTCAGTGTATAATGTAAAGTACACACTATGCTAATATGTCATTTTGAACATTGCCAATGAGTGTGTGTGAGACAGAATGCTTTCACCTGATTAGACAGTAAAGTGGGCCACCAAATTCAATTTCATTTTCCACAGATGTATTATACTAGCATTTGAATTTATCTTGGTTAATTGTATTCAGTGCACGCCTCTTTTATTTACAGAGCAGCTAGGGCAGGAACTG